AAAAAACGAAATTCGCAGGGAAAAATGTTCTGATATATTATCATATTTTGCAATTATCATTCACAATAATTTTTATAATCGTTAGATACAAAAAAATCAATGATTAAAATTTAATATAAGATTTATTATTTTTATACTGGTATAAGTTGATTATATACCTTATTTCATATTTTGTAATTATCATTCACAATAATTTTTATATATGTGGATGTTATTATAATCTAATATACTGATTCTCGCGTAAGTTTTGTTGTACACACTCTACTTGCAAGGAGTAGGACAATGTCTCAATTACTAAATACAATAATTAAGAAATCCAACATTCTTGGGAGGCTGTGAAAATATGAATGAAGATAAATGATCCAAAGTCATCAAAATACTGAACAGTGAATGAACTCACTCCTCGTCCTCGTGTATGCATTTGATACTCACTAACTATTAATGAGATGTAAACGTCCCAAAGAGAAACCTGCTATTGGGGGTTCAGTCAAGGAAACATACCTCATATACGGATCACGTGCATAAATCACGTGCCCAAAAGAAGCTTAGAAATGGTGGCCACTGGCCATGAAGTAGAATAAGTCACGGGTCATATATGCTTTTTTTCTTCCCCTTATATATTAAATTGTAGTGACAGCGCGCCGTTTATTATTTTATCAACATTATTATTTGATGTCAAGTTTTGAAGAGCGCGCAGCTTATAATAAAATAAAATGGGTAAGACAATCTATAACTGGTCGAGATCTTGCGTTAATCAAAGGATTCGTACATCGTAATGAAAAAAAACATCGATAATTAACTAATATAAGTCAGTCAACTTATGCCTTATGTCTCGCTTCCAAGTTCAAATTTTGACTTTCTATGTATTATCTTTTTGTTCTATTGCAATTATGATATTCCTCCTAAATTTTATACCATACCCCTACTCTAATTTCATCTCGAGTATATAATCATATAGAATGCATATCATGTGTAAGATATAAGAATGTTCACTATTAAATCCCGCAACTAGATCAAATATTTAAATGTTAATTCCATTTTCTTGTTATCACATTTATTGAATAATATGTAACTTATGATCTAAAAAGTGAAGCATGAATGCATATAACATTACAAACATTGAACGTGTTCCAAGCTTGAGTTCATAATCACTTGTGTTAGTTGTGCTATACAAGTAAGTAAAAGTAAAGATAAAGTCGGTGCTTATAAGTTATATACGAAGAGATTACACTACGATCAACCATGACCGTCCGATAATTGAACAATGATGTCAGTATCGACGGTCAAACGTTTCCCATGGGTCAACGTTAATGTAGAAAAGCTTGGTGGTGTTTGGAACTCGTGATAGGACGAAACCGAAGCGGATATTCACATAATGCATTATTAATTACAAATTGCTTTTCCCAAAACGACATCCATATAAATTTAATGCACTCGATATGCTAAATTAAAATAATAATAATAAATTCCGTGAGGTTTAATCCAGTGCACGAAGGTGTATCTTATCAGTGGCTCACAGCCTTCGGATTTTACATCTCACATGCTTCATGTAATATGAACGGATCTCATACCAGGATGTAACGGATCAAATCTACATACGGTAACAGGGTATTTCATGTTCAAGCTTTGGTGTCTGACAAGAAAACGACAAATGGGTTTCGACGTTTCGTACTTACTCGCTCTATACTTACTGCTCAGTTATCAATATCATTGAATGGAATGGAGAGATAAATTACCATTTGTGCCCTTCTCTTCAGTCACTCTCTTTTGCTCTATAAGCATTTTCTGTATGTTTCTTCAGTCATTATCATTCCTTAGAAATTAGATTTCAATGTTACATGTATTTTGAAATTTGAATGCTAAAATGAACTTGACCACACATAAAAGTGTCAACATCTTTTTAGGGGATGATGATAAATGCTCCTACAATATTAATTCTACTTTGTAGTTAATTTTGTGACTCTCTCATTTTATCATCTACTCACCATCAATCACTTGACAGAATTCGATGAATAAAAATTGTGTTTGATAATAAGGTTTGAATGTTATATACGATTTAATTAATTAGAAGTAATTTTTTGTGTGAATTTTCAGAGGGATAACATTAAAATGTCGCGCTTTATATTAATCAATGTTTTGAGTATTTACATACAAAAAAATGAAAATGTATATAAAAGAGCATATTTTGCATGTTGTCAGCGACTTTTAACCAGTTAATTAAGACGCAAGGTTGATAACCTGGAAAAAAAAAATACTAAACATAAGCTTCTACGTAATTCATACAATTAAAGAGTAATTACGTCGTTGTGGTGTTGTGGAAACAAGCATGTTAAAGATGGGAAAATGAATACCATATTTGATAAAAAAAAAATTCTTTACATTTTAGAATCTTTAATCGGTCTGATCTTTTAACTAAGCAAACTAAATGTCCTGAAGTGTGAACTATATAAGTGATTAGTTTGAATTAATCGGATTAGAAGCTACTCCTTGAATTGAAGTGAAAACGTATTGCCTTTTAGAAAATCTGGTTGGCATAGATACTTTGTAAGAGATAACGGAATACAGCAAATGACAAACTATAGGTTAAAACTATTCAAATGCAAAATTTAAGCAGGCTAGCAAGCTTATAGCTACCAGCCAAAAATGCAAAAATAATGCGGCTGAGAATGTTTTATTTATTTATTAGGTTATATAGATTATTTTCATTCATCAAACACTGAACCAAATATTAATATAATTCTACAAAACCATTTTAAACACGCAGAAATGGACGTAATGACATTTTCAAACAAGGAGAGTAAAGTGAGCATTAAGTTATATCAATAAATATAAAGGAGATAGTGGAAGGGAGAAGTTAAACACTAAATTATATATAAAAAATAAAGTAAATTGTTCAACCTATATGTTGTTAGAGGTTGGTGTATAATCAGTAATAGCATCAACTGCTCCATGCCTAGTAAGAATTATTTCTGTTTAAAAAAGAACAGCAAAAAAAAAAAAAACTTTTTAATTTTCAATGATGGACATAATTAAAATGCATAGTTAGTTTACCAAAAAAAAAAATGCATAGTTAAAACCCTCTTTTTCAAGATGTTTAATTAGCATGATTATTTTTGTAAGAAGTATCGAGTTAATAAAACAATATTACATTTTTTTTCATATGAATATTGAAAATTATGTATTTATAGAGTATTTGATATTTAAATAGGGATAGGATCCGTTTACAATTATTTTTTGCAAATTACACTAAGTATGATCTGTCGTACACTGCATGATTAAAGTATAACCAGTCGTACTTAGTGTAGTTTGTAAAAATTTATAAACAAAAAAAGTTTGTAAATATAACCTACCCCTTTAAATAACATGTTTTTGTTATTATGGATTATGGATAATCAAATTCAATGAATTTATAATATCGAGTAGCACTTGCTTCTTGGCTTTTAGCTAAGGTTTGTTACTTTGTTTATACCCAACAAGAAAAACATGAGATAGGCCTCACCCTACTTGCTAGGTTCATTAAATGAACCTTACCCCACCGATTTTTGTTCAGTTGAAAATGTCGATTACAGCCCACAGGCGTCTAGGCTATTTAGCTTCTTCTATTTATGTATTTTTTAAGGGTTATGTTTATCTCATTTTACATGAGATAAACATCTCTCCTACACACACAAAAAGGGTTGGGTCCCACCACTTTTTTTTTTCTCTCTCCTCTTACATGTGGGTCCCACTTATACTTTTATTTCTACAACATGAGGTAATTCTTTTCCTACAACATAAGAAAAATATATTCCATTTTTTAATATAAATAAACATATTTTTGTAGAAATCTTCATACGCTGCACTAATAAATTTCTTTAGCATGAATTACGAATTCAAGATTGCATTTTGTTCACACCAGACAGAGTTACCTCAAGTTAGATATGCAGAATTCTAATATAATAACTATAAATTATAAATAGGATTGTATTGATAAACTTTTTTTTTTAAATTTATAAATTATACTATGTCTGACCGATAATACTTTATTCAAGAGTATATTACCAGTCAAACACAATATAATTTGTAAAAGTTTATAAATAAAAAATTTATAAATATAATCCTTCCCTTCAAGTATTATTTTGCATAACACCAAATAGGTAGATTAATTGATAAGATGTTGTTCTAACGTAATTAATAATTTTTAGTTTGGGTTTTTCACCTGGTTCTACCCTATCAAATTTAATTAATTCATGAACGGATTAATAATATGATAAAAAATATTTTTCACAGAAAAATAAAAATAAAAATAAAGAGAATACAAATCTAGTCAAATACTAGTAAAAATTAAGGGATTTATTATTCTTATGTTACATCAGAAAAAGTTTATCTCCTACCACAGAAATTCAAGATAGATCTCACTTTATTTTTTTCTCTCTTCTCTTGAAAGTGGACCCCACTTATACAAATGAGTCAATAGAAGATAATTATTATCTCGTACTACATGAGAAAACTAATTCAAAAATTAAAGAATTTTATGTTTATTATGTTACATAACCTAATTTTACTTTTCTACACATGCAACAAAAAAAGAGAGAAAAAGTAGAATGATAAAATAGAGAAAAAAAAATATGAATCCCACATTTCTGATATGTGTGCAGAAAGGTGAAATTATATTATATAACATAATAAACATAAAACTAAAAATTAAAACACAATAGTAGGTTGGTCATTTCCCGCAGGATTTGATTATGTTTCCATATAAAGATTAGAATTCGTAATTCATAAACACATGGTCAAGGAGAGAGAGAGAGAGAGAGAGTTATGTATGTTTGCAGAGGAAGCTTTAAAGGGGTTGTTGGCAATTACAAAAGCAGAACCAAACAACTATCCTTTGCAGTGGCTTGTGACACATGATTTTGCCCATGGAAAAAAGGTAACGCTAATACCAGCACAGCACAACACAATCACAGCAGAGAAGGTCATGCCCCCCCCCCCCCCCCCCCCAAAAAGTTAAAGGTAGGGGGGGTCATAGGTAAAATTCACAGGCATGGAATAGAAACAAAGAAAACCCACTTATTACTCACTCTCCCACACACATCATGCAGTCACAGATCTCTATTCTCTGCCAAAGTGAAAAGCTTTGCAAGTAACTAAAACCACACAACACCTAAATCCGGAAAAAAGATCACATCTTTGCATCTTCCATGACTTGGGGTAAGGTAAGGTTTGTTTGTCTCTGAGTAAACCAGACAATACCTTTCCTCACAGGACACACTCTTCTCTTCAACACTTATCACTTCAAACGCACACACATATTGACAGCTACCCCATCCTTTCTCTGTTACATCTCTTTCTGCCAGCTCTTCCCTTTTGGATCCTATCAAAATGTCATTGCTTTGCAAGCCAAGTTCTTTTGTTGGTCCCGGAGTAAATCAGTGATTTTTCATTACTTCCCTTGAAAAAAAAAAAAAACTTGAGGGTAAGTGTTGAAAGAGAGTGAATAGCAGTTCTCTTTAGTGCTGTCTGCATTTGTGTGTGTGTGTGTGTTTTTTTTTTGTACTTTTGTGTACTGCTCCTTCAACCTTTGTGTTTGCATTCTTCCTGAAAGATGAAGAAGAATGGATGGCAGCTACCTTACCATCCTCTCCAGGTGAGTGTGAAGTTTTTAACTTTTTTTTTTTGTGTGCAGAATTTTCTATCTTTTGTTTTGTGGTGGGATTTGTCATTTTGAGAATTCTTTTTTGTGAAGGTGGTGGCCATTGCTGTATTTTTGGCTCTGGGATTTGCATTCTATGTGTTCTTTGCTCCTTTTGTTGGGAAGAAGATGTATCAGTATATTGCCATGGGCCTCTACACACCCCTGGTAACCCAATCTTCGACTTTTATCTGCTTTTTGATGCTCATTTTACTGATTTTCAAGTGGGTCGGTGGAAGGGGTGATGAGATCTGTGATTGTTGCTTTCTGAAGCATGTTTTTGGTTTTATTTATCTATATCTCTGTCTCAGTCTAGGTTCCTTCTCCTTCTCTCTCTTTTTTTTCGGTTGCATTTTTGTGTTGGCGTGTAGACAGTGTATGGAGCTGTCTCAAAATTCTAACTAGTTTGAATTTTGAAATCCAAGGTAGCACTGAATTGTCCTTATTCTTTTTTTGGGCTTCTTGATAATTCTGGCAACCCCCACCCACTTTGGAGGGATATCCATACATGTAGAGTAAGCCCTTTGTTGAAACTGGGACACCTTAGTGGAAGATACCTTAAATGTGGCTAATTAAAGAGGGTTACATCAAATTTTGCAATGATTTCTTCATTCTGCTCAAATATAGAATCAGTCAGTTTCTGAATATGGGTGACAATTCACTTCTGGGTTGACTTCGTGGTGTCTGCAGTTGTGTAACTAGTTATGTATGCTTTCTAATGGCACATGCATGGACGGCCGAGAAAGCTCCATATGCTGGTTGTTACTCCAACTGTCACTAAATCATTAGCATTGCCTTTGAACTTTTCAGTTTCAAAATTTTAAGAACAAACATGGAATTGGAACACTGCAGAAACATTATAATGATACTAGATTATGTAAAATTTGGAGCAATTGTTGAGATAGCTTTTGGGGTGGTGTATCCCAAGATTCTTATCACATGGTATCAGAGCCTCGTCGCCCTTTGTGGAGTTTCTTAGCACAGGTAGGCTGGGCCTGTTGCATTGTCCACATTTCAAGCCCGAAGGGCTCTCGTGTGAGGGGGCGTGTTGAGATATATAGTCCCACATTGGTTGTATGTCCAACTAATGTGGAGTTTATAAGGCCTTGGGCACTCCCACCCTTTGAGCTAGCTTTTGGGGTGGTGTATCCCAAGATTCTTTACAGCAATATTAAAAGTTATCAATATTCCTACAGCCTGCTGAAACTTATCACTGACAGTTTCAACTAGCAAATGGTTTTGTTTGTTGAAGATTGCTGATAATGGTTCAGGTGCCCCTTGAGAGTTTGGGATTTGCATTCTATGTAACAGGCTAACAGCTGAGTTTATTATGACTTTTAGGAATACTGATTCGATAATTATCGAGCTTCTTGTAAAATGGTTTGGTTCCCTCAAGAAGCCATGTGAACATAAGCTGCTTGGAAATATTTCAACTGGGTTGAGTAATCTGTGTCAAACACTTAGTCTAATAAGGAATGCTCTGGTAAATGATTAGCAAATTTCAGGTTTCTGTGAACTGAGATACCGGACAACATGCTACCAGTTGGTTATTTTTTTTATAAATGCACGAGATGTTTTTTGAAGGATTATTCTTACATTGTAGTCTTTTGTTTGTTTTTTGAGCCCTTGAACCCAAAAGCTACTATAACTATGGACAACAATCCTTGACAGGTACATTGTTAGTCTTTAACTTGTAAAATAAATGGAATATTAAATGGGTGGGTAGCAATATTTACACACAATCCAATAAATTCAATATTCTAGATTAACTGAAGTTTAGAGGTATTTTTCTAGGCTGATATGCATTTGTCATCTGATCTGATATTTCTTCATGCTATTTGCATATTTTGTGGCACCTAAAGTATGTGGCCTTTTTAGGGCTGCTATTGCCTTGCATCATTCTGTCTGTGTGGATCAATTTATGTGGTTCTAAATGTGCTTGTAATAGCATGATTAGATAATAACATACACACAAAAACAAAGACAAAAAAACACTTTACCAATTTGTGATAAATGCTTGTTTTGATATCAATCTAGTATAGACTTGTAAAAGATGGGAAGTAACATTGTCTTTGTTTTAAACTGAACGAAGGACATTATCATGTTTTAGTAATACCTTATCTCTTGCCAGATTACTTGTGTCTTTGGACTGTACATTTGGTGCGCAGCAGCTGATCCAGCAGATCCAGGGGTTTTTAAGTCCAAAAAGTATCTTAAAATTCCAGATAGCAAAAAGCTTGATGGACTCAAGGATTCTAAACCAGGAGGGGAATCTACTTCGTCAATGCATGATGGAAATGCTTCAACAGTTGGACCAAAATCTGTGGATAAGGAAGCATTAGGAACAGAAGCAAATCTAGAAGATGCTGCTATTTCAATAGAGATGAAGAGTGCATCATCACCTTCTTCATCCTGTTTCCTATTGGTTTGCTCCCCTTGTGCTTATATCTGCAGCTGCTCTAGTTCAAGGGAAGAATCTTCTGATAAACAAACAAGTGAAGATGGCATGTTCTATTGCAGTTTGTGTGAAGTTGAGGTGTGTAGAAGCATTTGGAATAAAAACCTTTGTTCCTCCAAGACTATTGTAGTTGTAGCTGTTCATTCCGTAATATATCGTGGAGGTGAACAGATAATTTCACCTCAACAATCCTGCATGCAGAATTCAGATATATCATTTGTGCATTCCTTGATCTAATACTTCATAATGTTACCAGCTCTGTTACAATTCCTTGCTTTCCGTGAAATTCTTGTATTTGGGCATTAGATGAATGCTTGGAGGTTTCATTGTGTCATCATTGATAAGAAAAGAAGTTCATATCATTGAGAATAATGTTGTTGCAGGTCTTCAAGTACAGCAAGCACTGTAGAGTTTGTGACAAGTGTGTTGATCGCTTTGATCATCATTGCAGAGTATGATAGTCTGATTTCTCTTTTCTTTGCTTATCAGTTGATATATTTCTGAAAGACTGTTGCTTCTTGGATTTTGCAGTGGCTTAACAATTGTATTGGGAAAAAAAACTACCGAAAATTTTTCACCCTCATGGTTTCTGCTCTCCTCTTGGTAAGCAAGATTGTCCACCTATGCCTTGCTTATCATTCACATGTTCAAACCTAGCATTATCATTATATAAGCTCTGCAACTATGTACAAACAATACCCTACCATTCAAATATTTCTGATCCAGACCACCACCATTCTGAAATCCTCTATTCTCAGAATACTTTTCCCTTCATTCCTTTCTGAAGCTACTTTAATCCCCCATTATACTGGAACAGATCTTAGGAAGCAGTGGTTTTAGACTTTTAGAGAACTTATGCTCTGGAAACCAAGGAATGTGCTTATTGAGCTATATATTTGGTTTCCCTAGCTTCCTTGTCAAATACTTGATATTCTCCTTATCAAATGTGAAAAATTGAACTGTCCTAAGCCCAACTTACTAATAGTTGGAAGCAACTTGCCAGAACCTAAAGAAAACCGCCCAGAGTATGCATTTTTAATTTCCTAGTCATTTTCATTTTGATTAACTATTGACAGGTATATACATGGTTTGTGCACCTTGGGCTTGAGATTGCAGCTTATTCTTCAATGGTTGACTGGGATCCTTGTGCTTATCTGCTGTTTTGTTGAGAGGAAGCAATTTTCTATCGATGTTTCCTCCAAGTTGGGAAGCAGTTTCTCTCTGGTCCCCTTTGTTATTGTCGTGGTGAGCATTCTGCTTACATTCTTGGTATATATTACATGGTTACTGTGCTGCTTTATTGGTTGTTTATGCATCTAAGCACACTGAATATTTATTCTTTTGTTATTTGTTTGATCATTTGCTGACTTCTTTCTTTCCCTTGTGCCTTTTTGTAATAACTGTATAGAGCGAATCAAATTTGACAAAAATTCATTACTGTTATTTCCCACCTCTGCTACTCTTATGCATGGTGAACTTTTTCTTTATACAGGCAGTCTGCACCATTTTGGCTATGATTGCTACCTTACCCCTTGCTCAGCTTTTCTTCTTTCATATTCTTCTCATTAAAAAGGTAAGCTTGGCAGCTCTTTGGTATTAGAAAATCTACTTTTATGCTTCTTTTCATTTGTAAAAGCATCTTATAATAATTCATACAAGGGGCAGCTTATTTATTTGTTCTTCTCTCTAATCTCTATCTGGCATAGTGCTAAATATTATGGTTATTGTGGATTGACTCAGGGAATCAGCACTTATGATTACATCATAGCTTTGAGGGAGCAGGATCTGCAAGGAGTTGGAGGTCAGCAGAGTGACCAAATGTCGCCTGTTAGCTCACTTACTGGATTGAGCAGTGCAAGCTCCTTTACTACATTCCATCGTGGTGCGTGGTGCACACCCCCACGCCTGTTTCTCGAAGATCAGGTAACTTGTTATCAATTCAATCTTGTTTTATTTGTTAAATGTTTTATTTCTGTATTTTACTGTAGGAGCTGCCTGAAATGCCTTCTGATATGGTTTTCCATCTAAAGCACTGATACATGTGTGAATCTCTCTGGCACAATATCATTTGAATGAACGACTTAGTTATTCAAAATTGTTGCTGAACGAAACGTAAAATTCACAATAACAGTGATGAAGGAAAATGAAGGTTAAAAAAGATGAAAATATAATAATGCTACTCGAATCCGTCACGAAATATATGCTTAGTTTAAAGCAAAATTCCTTAGATGTTTTATGAAAAACGAGTATTGAGAATACTGTGTATCAACTTCAGAAGTATGTCTTAGCTTTCTTGATGGTATATGTGATGGTTTGCATTATGCAGTTTGATGTAGTGCCCCCAGAAACTGCCTCTGTAAGTTCACTGGGAAAGAAGACAATGAGAGAAGAGCCAGTTAAGAAAAAGAATTCTGGAGCAGTCAAAATTAGTCCATGGACATTGGCACGATTAAATGCAGAAGAGGTTTCCAAGGCTGCTGCAGAAGCAAGAAAAAAATCTAAAATTCTGCAGCCAGTGACAAGACATAATAATGAGGCCTTTCGGCTAGAACCAGACCAGAACCCTGGCAACAGTGGTCGACGAATGGCCCCTAGAATCGAGTACAACAGAAGGCGTGCAGGTAAACGGGTTCGCTTGCCTGCTGACTTACCAATGGAGGCCCTTACTAGATTTTCTGCCAGTAATATTGATAAAGGCTTCAGTGGAATATCAAGTTTAGCGCCTCTCCAGCTCGAAGCTCGGAGCGCATTTCAAACAAGTCAAGCTGTGTCAAGCTCAGTTGGGATTGTTGCTTCTTCTCCTGAAAGCAGTTTAGACTCGCCAGATATTCATCCATTTCGTGTGTCTTCGACAGAAGCTGAAGAAGCAAGAAGGCTTGCAGGTCTTTCTGCTTCTGGTGTTGCAACTCTGAAGGGAATACCACTTTCAAGGTCAACTAGTGATGGCTATGAGGCCTCTGGTGGGGAAGATAGTGACAGGGTTCCCACCAGGATTGTTCAGAGATCTACAAATTGGACTAATCTTCTTTTCAATGCTGATCAGGATGATAGAGCTTTTGAGCCTAAATCATCATCCAGCCTGGTTCATAATAGAATGTTGTGAACAATTTGGGTGTTATTAAATTGGATAACTATCTTTCAGATTATATTGATGGGAATTGTTCATTCTTTGATTTGTGAGCCCAAAAGGTACTTCAACATCCCTTAACCCTCACCTTCTTGAGGATGAGTTGATGTTCCTCAAAAGTTTTGAAAGTTAGGGTAAGTGGGAACCCTTGTACAAAATTTTAGGTCACATTAACAAGTGATAAGCCTGAGCTTCCTAAAATATTATTGTTTTGTGCTAGATTTTCAGTTGATCAAAATTTAACTAAGCAAGTCCTTATGAATGATGTGTGACCTATGCTGAATGTCCATATTTTTTACAAGGTTGAAGAAAAATACTGGTGACTAAATGAGGGTAGGATTGTTATTCTCCCTAGTTATATCCCAGTCTTTGATTTCTTACAACTCTTACAATTAAGGTGTCCAAGCATAATAGTTTGCAAGATTGTAATGCATTTTCAATTTTTACGTAGGTAAGATCATGACTCAAGAGGACTAAATTTGACGACCCTTTGCATAGTGTTTGTTTGGCAGTAATTCAAATTCATGATTTTGCTCACAATAGGCCACAGAAAATGAACATCTAGTAAGCTCTTAAGCTTCACTAAATCAAGAAAACTAAATTCCAGTAAGTATTAACATGTTTTGCCACTGTAAGATTAAGAGCCTGTTTGGATCCTCTTATTTTTAAGTTAGAAGCTACTTATAAGCTAAAGTTAAAAAAGAGCGTTTATAAAAAGAAGCTAAAAGCTGTTTGGAAATTACATAAAAATTTTAGCTTAAAAATTACTTAAAAACACGTATTTCAAGAAAATTATCTCTCTTTCTATCTTTATCACTCTTTATCTTAAAAAAAAACACACAATTCAAGAAAAACAGATAAGAGCTTAAAAAAAGCTTCTCCTAAGATCTTTTAGTTTTCAACTTTTTTCTTCATTATAAAAAAAAAAAAAACTTTTCATTATAAGAGTTTTTTCCAAAATCTATTTGGCCTAACTTATGCTTATAAATAACTTCTAACTTAAAAAAAAAAGATCCAAACAGGCACTAATATGAATCTTGATGGTTCTTAAACCTTATTACTTAAGGACTAATTTTGTCCTCTTAAGTGTGGAAACTTATTTTATTGAATCTTGACGGTGATGGTGCTGGTGCTAGTGCTCTTGATGCATTACCTGTAAAAAACACTGTAGATGGCTAATAAGGTTAGTTTTGAATATTATGGCTAATAAGGTTAGTTTTGACTTTTGAGTATTTTACAAAGCATTTAAAAGTTTTAGAATTTTTTTTTTATATTTTTGCAAATAACTAAAAAGTTTGTTTGTTTCACAACGCATTTTTTAAGAATTTATGTGATAATTATTAAAATGTCTTTATTATATAAAATGATTTAGATATTATTCTTTTAAATGTAATTGATAAAACATGAAGAAAAAAAACAAGATGATTAGTATCCCATTCTATTTCGAATTTTCAATTTTTTTTCTTCTATTAACTATGTTTAGTTTTCCCTTAAACATTATTTTTGCCCCACTTAATTATGATACTATTAGAAGTTAAAACAAGTTTAAAGGGTATCACCTACAAGTACATGACATTTTTTTGTAGTCTTTTAACAATTTTCTTGATATAAGGGGATATTGGGCTCAAAATATGAAGTTTAGGGAGTTATTTGCACATTTTCAAACCATAGGGCCTAATCTATCCAAAGTTGAGGTGGGCTCTTGCAATTTACCTTTAAAATTATATTTGAAGCATGTAATATAAGATTTAGAGCAGATTTATATTTATAAATTTTTTATTTATAGATTATATTATATATTATTCGTATTATATTTATAATATAATTTATAAATAAAAATTTTATAAATATATCATACCCTTAAGATTTAAGGAGTTTGCATTTATCATTTAACATGACACAACAAAGTTTTCTCTACACACAACATTTTGTGGGGCCCACCCTTTTTGAAGCAAAAAAAAAAATTACGGCACGCAAAACGAATTTCTATAATATTACACAATCACTTTTCCTACAACATATTTCTTATAAAACTCAAGATTTAATAACAAACCTATAAACTTTATTAATTCATTTTTAATTTTTTTTACTTGGATGAGACCTATAAAATCGAATTTGACACCTTTAAGCTGAGTAACACTGGTGCCATCAAATTCTGTTCCTGGTTCCCACAAAGAAAACAGAGACCTCTGCACCAGAACTTCCTTCAACCTGCATGAACCCACACCTCGCCACCAACTCAACCCAATTCAGTAGTTCTAGCTAACAAACCCAATCTCCTCCGGCAAGACGCACCACAAACCGTTTTCAGCAGCAGCAGCACCCACCAGGTCTCCTTGCCCACTACATGCTTGATAAAATGCCCAAATGAATCATAAGTCATGTTATGTATATATAATACCCTTTTAATGATCATGCACCAGTCTGGGTATTATTTGTTCTTTATTGTTGAGGAATGTATGCATGAACATATATGATATTTATGTATGCATATACAAGCAATAGTGATGATTCCTTTTTGGCTAATCATTTTACTAGGACTCTAAACTTATGGACAGCTTACGCCAGGAGAAAATTCAAAAATTCGAAGAATTTGTTGATAAACGCTTGAAACCTGATCTTCTTCATGCTACTGCTCAGCGGTATAGTGTTTGCTCCTGTGGATTTCATTCTTGGTTGTTTCCAATAATGTGTATAAATTTATGTCTTACTCAATTTTTTTTGCCCCCTACGATTGGCCTAAGTCCTTCTAATAGGATATGTACGGTGCCTACATAAGCTACAATCAATGAGGATACTTAGTTCATTCTGCAGCATAATCTATAAATGAATGTCTGTCTTGAGGTTTTTTGATGTCTCAGGATTTATGAATTCTTGCAAAATGGATTCAAAGCAGTTATATGTGTGCATATGTAACTCAGTGTTGCCTTGTCTATTGCATAGGGTTTCACAATCTTTATTTACTTTTTTTTCTCATCTATTTATTGCAGGGACAAGGTCTTTGAACAACAGAAAATTTTGTATCCTTTTTGACATTAATGTATATGGTTACCCCCATAACACTGAAATAGTTTTAAACATTCAATAAATTTTTGCATCAGCCATTTCTCATAAAATCCATAGTAGCATAGAGAGTCCCTATCAAGTAAATTATACCTGTTTGCTGAATTGGAGACTAGTTTGTATCCAATAACTAATGCTTAAAATGAATTTGTTCTTTGTTATATAGTTTTTGATTTTTTTAAAAAAGAAAAAACATGTTAAATCTATATCTGATTCATGTGAAACTTGTTGTGTTACTACAATCCATGAATACAATGTTGCACTCAGTAAAGGACTATTATGTGTGGATCCACTTGACTTGTTTACTCAGTGCTGATTTGCGAAGAAACATTGAAAACCTAGAGAAGAATAGTGTAACCAGTCTAAGAACTTTGGTCAATCTTGGGTCTGAGGTATACCTGCAGGCAGAAGTGTAAGTCATCAGCATTTCAGCTTTTACTCTGCTTCACTCCCCCGCCCCCGATTTGGTGACTATTAATAGTATATTGATTCTTTCTTAAATTTTGTTAGGAAACTAGTAGTCAGGTATCAGGTATTGATAGGAAATATATTTTATTGTATTAACACTGGAAATCCCCTTACTCCCACTGTTTTACAATGAAACAATGGAAAAAATATGAACTGTAAAAAAGGAAATTATAACAGAAAATGGAAATGATCAATAGAGCGGTGCTTCGACAGGCTGCAACCTCCCTACCACCTCAGTGTCTCAATATCCTTTACCCACTACATTTAACCCACTCACTCACTATGTACCATGTTTTTAGCCATCAGTTAGCACCATTTTGTATATATCACCTTTATAGTCATCTCCATTTCATCTCTGCACTTCCCCCTTTTCTCTGGGGTACAATCAATGCATGGAGATTTAACCTAGAACCTCTGGCAAACTAACTAAACTCCTTACCACTAGCACACTGCTTGTTCTTTTCATCTGTGCGCTTATAGTTACACGTATATCTTTTAGTTTTGTTTTCAGTCCAGTGAAATGCACATCTTGTTGATATTTTTATCTATTTGATTAAAACTTTTGCTGAGCTCAGGTGATGCTGATGTTGATTAAAACTTTACAGGCCTGATACACAACGCATATTTGTAGATATAGGATTGGGATTCCATGTGGAGTTTACTTGGTCTGAAGCTTTGAACTACATAGAAAAAAGGGAGGAAAAGATAGCCCGGTATAAGTTTTTTCATTTTACTTATTTTGCCTAGTTGAAACTTGAAATCAAACTGTTTATTATGACTTTCAAGGTTTTTCATTTTAATTTTTAGGCAACAATATGACTTACTTCAAATGGAGCTGTTTAAATGACTTTAAAACTGACTTTAAAAAATTTATGGTCCAAGATAGTCATGTTTCCTGTGTCAAACATATTCTGTATCAATAAACTCCATGAGTTTGATTCATCCATCTACTTGTAACTTGCAAAAATGCACTGAAGCACTTTGTTTTCTTCAGTTATACTTTGGTGTTATGCCTTTGGCTGGGAGGTAGTAAATGATCAGATTCTAAACTTTTAAGTGGGATTATTATCTTGCATGTGCAGAAACGATTGACATATGACAAATTTTCTGTGTTTTTCCTTCCTATCTGTCTGTCTTCCCTTGCATATGTTTTAGACATGGTTAGGCTGAAAGCTGATAATTGTTGAATGTGTAGCATAGGTTAGTGAAAATGTGAAATCTTAGGCTGGCTTGTAAGTTGTAACATCTCATAAGTTTCACATAGAAAGAGTGGAAAGTTTGGAAGGCTTGACTAACAAATTATAAAAATCTGGGCTTAAGCATTTTGGGCAATGTGGTGTTAGTCCATCAATTCCAAGTGCAAGGATCTTAGCTACTTGATCCATTGTTCCATTATTTGAGATGAGATGCCAATATACAGCTACAGAAGTTTCGTCAAGCGGCATTATTGAAACGATTAAAAGAACTTGTTTTGATTCAATGTATTTAAACATTTATGACAGTTACTGAAACCTTAATGTTTTGACTTTCTGTTGTAAGTTATCTTTTGGCAACTCTCTATTGCCCATTGTGGGACAAACTTATCTTCACCCTTTTCTTCTCTTTTTATCTGTCTAGACATGGTCAATTGGTTTTCTTTTCTTCCTTATTTCATTTTCCCGTTGGTTGATAATAATGTTACATGTTCAAACTTTAGATATGACGTATGTCTTGCAGGCAGATAGAGGAGTACACTCAGTTAATTGCATCAATTAAAGCCCAAATTAAGCTGGTACATTTAATTCTCTCTGTTTTCATTAACTCACTGACTTCCTAATTTCGATTACTTGCATTTATTCTCATCAAGTAATGATACTTGGTCAATTAGTTACTACTCGTCTATAGAGTTGACATTTGACAATATGGGCTGGCCCACCCCACTCTGCCTTAGCCCACGTGGACAAGGGCCAAAATGTCCACAAAGTCAAAAGCCCATAGGGCCATGTGGGTTAGGGCCAACCTGCTAAATTGAAAAAAAAGTAGTAGCCCATCTCTTAAATGGGCTGACCTACTGCATTAGCAATAAGCTCATGTATTTGCATGCCAATCGCCGATAGTAATATTGACATTAAAATGTAGTTTATAGAGTATAGACCAAATACATTAACTGGAATAAAATGTAGTTTATACTACCAGTCTTATTATCTAAATGACTATTACAGCATTTCCATTTCCAATGATACAAATTCTACTAGAGAGTAAGCTTACTTAGATTCTGCTCAGTTTTATAATTGGAACTACTTACAGAATTTCCTAATTGCTTCTGATCCCGTAACTAACTCTAACAGAGGAACGTAGTTAGTTACTGCTCATAACAAAATCACTTACAAACTCTCACAGATTCTAGATCTATAAAGCTAGAACAATGTACAAGTTCAGAATAACACAATTACAATTTTCAGTTCTTTTCTCTCGCACTCTCTCCCTAGATTTCTCCCTGGTTCTTGTTTTATTCATCCATGTTCATCTTCCATATGGTATCTAGAGTTTGATTCGGTCCTCCCATGGCTTTGTTTCCAAATCCATTCCAAAATTTGGATTTGCCAAACACTTCAAACACTCCTATTCTGCTCTCTGTTCTGGCGAGTGCTCCGGTGAATGCTCTGATCACCTCCTCCCATGTTATCTCCATTTGTTTGGATGAGAAAAACTTCCTTACGTGGAAACTACAAGTTGAAGCTGTGCTTAAAGGTCACGGGCTGCCTCATTTTGTCGTCAATCCAGAAATACCTTAACGTTTTATCTCCGATGCTGGTCTGGAATGTACATCAGTCAATGACGAGTATCTTCAGTGGGAGTAGCACGATCAGATGCTCTTCTTGTGGTTTCTCTCATCTCAATCAGATCAGACAAGGTTCTTCCTCTTGGTAGATTGTGAAAACTCATGGCAGCTGTGGTACGAGATTCATAGTTTCTTTCACTCTTAGACTCGGGCAGAGGTGTGCCAGTTCCGATCTAAACTGTGCAATACCAAGAAAGGATCTTGGTCCATCTCAAGAGTATCTGTTGCACATCAAAGCCGTCATCGATTCTCTGATTTTGATTGGTTTTCCTGTTTCTCCGTATGAGCACCTAGATGTGATCTTGGAGGGGATTTCAGATGAGCATGGTTTGTTTCTTACCTCCATTTATAGTCGCTTGGATCTATATATTGTGACTGAGATTGAGTCCTTGCTGATAACTCATGAAGATCATCTCGAAAATAAGAAACCTGTGCCTTTATCCGATGCACTTTCTGTAAACTTGGCGCACAAACCACTGGATGTTAATCCCAAGCACACTGAAACTTCTGACTCACCGGCATCCTCCTTGCAATCTTCTGCACAATTTCCTCCCGTTTTTGGCACTGGAGCATTTTTTCTATGTCAGAGCATCCATAACACTCTCTGTTTGGGTCACCTTTCAATCCCTATGTTTCTTGGCCTGGTAGTGGTGGTTGCGATGGCTGGGGAGGCTGCTTCAGCAGGGGTGGTCGTGGCGGCTATAGGTGTTTCGTTGAACGTCAACTCTCTCACAAGTATGGCCATGATGCCAAAATCTGCTACCACCGGTTTGATACAGCCTTCACTGCTTCTTAAACTCCGGCCCATGTTCCTCATTTTCAACCTCCACTATCAGTGCAACAATCCTATACTTCACATATAAGCTGTTGTGGCATCCTCCGCCTCAGGTGCAGTCAGCCTTCCACAACTGCAACCAATACCACATCGTTTGTTCACTTTGTTTAGACTCAGAGGACTCCTCGTATGGCTCAGTCCCTGTATTGGATTGGCATGAAAGGGAACATCTTAGCCTTTGTGGCTGCTTGCTATGTCTGTCCACACAGCAAGTACCAGTTGTCATCCTCAGCAGGTTTATGGCAACCTCTGCCCATTTCTAATGCCATATGGGAGGAAATTTTCTAATGCCATTTGGGAGGAACTGATCATGGATTTTTTTGTGGGGCTTCCAAGGTCTAAAGGATATGAGGTAATTTCAGTGGTGGTTGACAGATTAGCAAGTATGACAACTTTATGGCCATTAAGCACCTATTTTCAGCTCGCTCAATTGAAGATGTTTTTGCTAGACAGGGAATGGCATCTTCATTTCCGTTGTGAGTGACAGGAACCCCACCTTCCTGAGCCGGTTTTGGCAGGAGTCTTTTTGGTTGCACGGCACTATGTTACGAATGAGCAGACCCATCATCCTGAAACGAATGGCCAGACACAAGTTCTGAATTGTATCATAGAAGCTCGCTTGCGTTGCTTTGCTTTGTTTCAGAGCAACCAAAGGCCTGGTATGCTGTTAAACACTGGGCAGAACACGGGTGCAACAACAGCTACCTGAGTGTAGCACACTGCTCTGCTATTGGTAATTGGTAATTGGTAATAGGCATGCATATACACAGGCTTATTGTTGATGCATTGGGCCAATCCATTTAAGAGACAATCTAATGTTTTTTAGTGGGCTAGCCTAACCAACATGGCCCTGTGCTCTTTTTTGCCCTATTTGCTTTAGGCTTTGTGGGCTATTGGCCTTGACCATGTGGGACAGGGTTGAATGGGGGGTCTAGCATATATTGATGGCTCTACTAGCAATATCGAAGAAAATGTTGGTCATTTTTGACATAATTCTGGAACTGACCCAGAAATGAGTTTTCCCTGAAGATATTTTAGGAAAGTTGTCATCTATTTCTATCCAAATAAAAATGATTTTGCTTTGTTTGCAGTTATGAGAAACTTCTTTTCACTGTTTCAATGCAGGTTATCGAAGGGATTCGAGAATTACTTCAACTTCCAGCTGAGAAATCCTTGCCAGAACGGATATTTTGATGTTTATTGAGTATATATACCAAATTGCCCGTGTTTGTCTTTTCGTCACAAATGCAAAGAAGAAATGCAAGTATGTGAAGCAGGACATAAATTGATATTTATCCAGTATGAAAGATTGCATCTTTTTCTGACCTTAAAAGTTGTCTTTCTAATAAACTTTTGTGCAATTTTTTGAGTCGGTCATGTCACTTGTAATGAATATGCAATTTGCAAGGATTTTATTGACAATTTTAACAGTAACATTAACAAGGCTCCCTAGTCCTTGCATCTATGATTCTCTTAAGTTGAAATTTTAAGCATAATCTATGCTAATTTGTTTATCTACAGAACAAAGATGCCCATGTTTTCATACTTTCAAAATACTATATCAAATTGTGTATGTTGTCGTGTTCTTTTATTTTTTGTCTTGGTGTCCCGTGTTGGTATAGTGCCGTTATGCATGCCTCACCTTTATGTAATATTTTAGGTGAGTTTTGTTTTTGTTTGAAGGCGTTTTGGTGACAAGGGGTTGTTCTAATGACAAGTAAGCATAAATTTAACAGTTCAGGAGTTTTGTAATATCAAACTTGAGTCAACTGGAAATTAATTGTGAGGAGGGAGTAGTTTTAATGGTTTTATATTTGAAAATTTTGAAAAAACTTTGCAAGACAAATAAAGGAAAAAAAAGAAAGAGAGGCTTTTTGGTCAATGAATAGTAGCCGAGGGTTTAAAAATGGAATATTGATGGACCTGGTCTGGGCTTTAACGGCACACCCTTGATGCATGAACCACAGTAGCAGGATAACTAATTTATACTATAGAATTGAAACCATACTGGCAAACAAATGAAAGAGAAATGGTGGAAAATCAACCACATGCAGAGTTTAATTGTATGCGTGTATTTTTGTACAAATCTGAATATAAATAATCTGATAATTTTGTGTTCGTGTGTAGTTAGTTGTAGATGTTGACGTTCTCAATTTTATATAAATGAAAAACAATAAGAAAAAAGATACCAAAGGTATAAAGTACACAGTGGAATCGTACAAAGATACCCAAGTTACCTCATGGTTCATGAATGCTGAAGATTTGACACTACAGTGAATTAAAAAAACTGTGTTGTTACAAGTGCCAACCCACCGTAGTACCATCACGTGTTTGTAGTAAATTTTCGAGAATCTTTTGTATACATTCATTGAATTATCCAGCTATACATACAGCTACCGCACATATTACAAAATATAATATCTGATACAAAATTGGAAAAGTAAATTCAGTTCAAAATGACGAAAATATTTTTGATATAAATTTTATCAAATATATGAAAAAAGTTACATATTTATACTATTCCTGCCTTTATGATTATTTCTCTTCATATATGTATATATATATATTTATTTATTTCAGAAAGGGGAATACTTACACAGTGCAGCACCGAAAATATGCTCCAAAATTACATCCAAAATTATCTCATCATCAATAAATGATTGTGATCAATTAACATAATTATTTTTTCACATGAAAGAATCCAGTTGATTCAATTAAAGCTACCAGTCTTTGTAAGAAAAATAAATGGTGTGGGGAGAAGGGTAAGATAGATGGAATTGATGGGACCTATAATGCAAATCCTATATACAGTACAGCTAACAAAGGCAACGTCATATCTTAGTCTTTCTCTCTGCTTTTGCATTTGGCTGATGCAATCATGATTGGTGATTGATCAAAAGGTTGTTGCTGCTTTTAAGGGTTGTTGTGTTGTGTATGAAATATGAATTGCATCTTATCTGATGTAACGGAAGCATCAACATGGGTTCCAATTCCATCACCGACACTTGCATTGCATTGCATTGCACACATCCCTCTCTCTTTTTTCTAATAAAATAAAAATCTTTACATGAACTGTAAAACCTTGTATTCAGTTCTGGTTTTATCAAAGTGAGGAGGATAGGTTATTAAACAGAACAAAACTAGCTTGTGCTTGTATATATATATTTACTTGAAGGGGTTAATGTTTCTCTGTAAGCTATAAGAATTGCAAATCATCAATATAACTGTTATAATGATTTATATTATGCTTTCAACAGTACACACTTCTCTTCTCTATGTAACGTAGAGAAGAATTATCGTGACGCGTGCTACAAGGGGATTTAAATAATATATAAGTTGCGTATATCCTATACTTGTCTTATAGCATGTGTCACGTAATAGACACTGGTTTAAATCTTTTGAACTTACATTTAATCATCCGGTAGAAAAGTTTTAAATTTTACATTGGACGATTCCAAAGGCCAAAATTTATCCATTTTCAATTTACCTACATTTGAAAATCACGTGTCAAAAAGTTTATTTAAGTACAGATATAAAGGAACTTTTGCATGAAAAGAAAAAGAAAAAAAATTTTGAATAACATTATTCAAGAATCTATGCTGTACTTGAGTTGAGGGACCCTGAGCCAAGCCTTTGTGGTGTGCAGCTTCAGTGGATCTTAGTAAGGCCACGGCACTATCACTGCCAGAAACCATTTTCATTTATCAGTCTTTCTGTCCCTTCCTTTGCCGTGGAGATGCAGTGCACAACTGAAAAGTATCTGACCCACTTTCAAAAGTATGAGACAGACACAAAGTGTGGAGTGTTTAAAGAAGCCTAAGGATAAATATAGCCCAAGGAACAAAAGGGGAACTCTATTTAACACTCACTCTCCACCTGCTTTCACTTGCTTTACAATCCCATTTTTTATGGCCTTCGATTTTCTCATAATTTTTTTTTTTATATTGTAGACATATTTTATGTGAGGTCCACGTCTATTAAAAAAAAAAAAAAAAAGTAAAAGAAAATATTGCACGAAAATCGAAAAGTCATTAATAGGAGAAAACAACTCTCCTATGACATGAGAAAATATTTTCCTTCTTTTATAGATTTAATGTTGGGCTTGCAATTTCTCATGTTGCACGAGAAATTCAAATTTTTCTACAGAGAGAGAAATGGGTAGGGCCCACCTTAAAGAAAAAAAAAATTAAAAATTAAAAAAATGATTGACACGGATATCTCGAAGTGAGAGTGATAGGAGAAGAGACTTCTCATGCAACATGAGAAGTCTTTTTCCCTATTTTATTATGTGATAACTTCAATAGCTGATATTATAACTATAACATATAGTTAGAAAAACGATTTTATATATAAGAATTAAATTGAAAATAAGGGTTATTTTAACCAAAATGTAAATATAAGAAGTGGCATGATAACTGGATATTTTTTGGGCATGCAATGCAACCATCAAAGTGTATGCAGCAGAGTGAAGAATCCAAATTTGAAAGTAAAAGACAATCAAGTTTATGGGTTTAGTGACAATCAAGTGTGTAAAAGAGTGTCGTTGGACCCACATGGAATGATACAGAAGCTCAGTTACTGAATCACAATGCATCGCAAATGCAAGCTCAATTAGAGATGCAGAGATAGAAACAAAACAAAAGCCAAAATAAAAGAATGGTGTAACGTGACTCATGTTATAAGAGATAAATTTATTTTATACATATAAAAATATGGGATTCATACGAACCCATATAAAAATAAGAGAAAGAGAAAGAAAAAAGAAAAGAAAAAGAAATATAGATCCCGCAAACTTTATATATATATATATATATATATATATAAATTATCTCTTATAATATAATTATAAGAAACATTAAAGAGAAAAAAAGTTCTCATGTTGCGGGAGAACTCTTTTCTCATGTTAGCGAGAATCCGTTTTACGTGCAATAATTTTTTTTTTTTTATGTGTGGGCTCTACCATGAATTTGAGTGTGTAAAAAACTCTACTCTTCTCCAATAACATGAGAAATGCATTACCCATGAAATATAAGGAATCAAATTAAAAATGACAAAAAAAGAATATATGAAAAAGTTATTACAACTTACAATCTTGCTAAAGTATCTAGCTCCAACTGACAAATAAACTTCATTTCTTTATTATAGTACTAAAATGAAGCCGTCTTAAGTAATAGTTATATAAATTAAAAAAACAAAAAAAACAAATAGGGTTGTTATTAGACTAGTTTATGTAGCACGCTAGTTCACGTTTGGTTAGTTTCACAAGTTAAAGCTGCATGCAAAAAACCACATGCACACATTGGAGGCAGAACTACCTGAACCTGAAGGTTGAAGATTCTAGGAGGAACTGACAGCATAGTAATAACTAAGCAGTCTTAAATAGGTGAAAGAAACTTTTATTGCAAATAAAAAAATACCAGCAACTTTTAAAAAAGGGATTTTTTTAATGGAAAAAACAACTTTCATGTCATAAGATAGTTGTTTTCTCATGATAGTAATCCTTTAATTTTCGTGCAGCTTTTTTTTTTTTTTTTTTTTAATAGATAAAAATATGTCTATAACATGAGATACATATATCCTAATGCATGAGAAAATCGAGAAAATCAAAACCATTTTTTAATATTTACTTAGTTTGATTCGTTTGTAATATTTTCATACGGTATTTTATAGTTCTAAAACCCGATTGCTTCTGGGTTAATTTTGTCCTAAAGTGTTGAAACTAAATTTTGCCTCTGCCAGATGAGTTGTTAATTCAACTAACTTGAATAATAAAGATGGAAGGTTTTACTTGTCAATAGGCCTTGGAGAAAATGTATAGAATATCAAAATTTTATGCATAAAACAACTTATTCAATAATCCAAGGGCCATTGTAACTGAACTGAACTTAAAAGTTAAAACCTTCAGAAGAAGTAATTCAGCCTTAACAAGAATTATAAACTTGTATACTAATATTCTTATGAATGTCACAATTAAACTAGAAAAGAAATATACAGTTAGAAATTCATTCTGATGAACCTGCATGTTTGGCCTTCAAATGGAGAACTTTTTGGTTAGATAAATGCAAAGATGACATGTCATTTGTTTTCTTAATTCTTATGCCCCCTCTGATATTTGCCTAGTGTCTCTTTCACAGTCCCAGATATCTCAAGGTTGGTCATGTAATTAAACTATCCTAAAATCAAATGGCATTGGCAGAAGAGTTATTACTAGCAGTAGAACATCAACTTCTTGATGTTTTCAGTGAGTTTAGGTAGAGGTGCTGTCTTTGGAGGAGCAGCCCTGGATAATGTAGAAGTACTTCTGAACAAACCTAAGGATTCTGATCGCTCAAGGTAGAGTCTGCCTCTGTATGCAGCTAAATGGGCATAATATACGGGAGGAACCAAAGAAATTGGTTTGGTACACCTAACAAAAGTATAGCATAAATTGTAAACCAACTTCTGGAGTTCATCAGAAGTAAATTGGTTTTCATCCCACAAGACATGGTAATGAGTTGGCCTGCTTGTTCCTTTCACACCCCAATGGCTACAGAGATAGAAGTCAAACTCCTTTGGATGAGTGATCACAGAATCAACCACAGTCCCTGGAGGAATATTCTCATGAAAATAATGGTTTTGTGAGGAAGACTGGTCGGTTTCAAAGGGAAACAACCTTGTGTGGTGCCTCTTCTGCACAACTGCAAAAGTGATGAAAGGTTTATAACCTGGAAACCTTGAACATGCACACCTGATGGATTGCAGTTCCTCTTGCAGCACTTTATAAAATTGAGTTTCACTAACCCCATCTCTGAAGAAAATTATTCTGTTGGGGAGTTTCTCTACTTCCTGATGAAAATCATCAAGCAATTCCCCCACCATTGCACCAAGATCCTGGATAATTTCTTGTCTATGTGTTTGAGACCTTATTCTCGAAATATATTTGTTTGCTGTTGGCCAATTCATGCTACCAACAACAGCAGCAACAGATGGACTGAAGTCATCAAGAGGATGAGGATGTGTCACATCAGCACCCATGAATATAGCTGGCTCATCAATCTTAAAGAGACGTGGTATTTGAGAAGGCAGTGAATTGTATAGGGCAACTGTGCATCCACCAACTTTGGCATTCATTTTGAGGGCCAAATTAGCCAAAAATTGTGAACTTAACTTGCTGAGATTTGGGTAAAGGCAGCATTGGCTTACAACACCAACACTTGTCTCAGCAATTCTTTTCAAGTCTGCATACCCTTTGTGTTTTCTCTCCATTATACAAATAAGAAGCTGGAGATTGTTTGAGGCAGTTCTCTGGATTTTCTTGAGCTTAGATTCCAAAAGGGTGACATTGTTAAGAACCTGGCTTGATTCAAACTGAGGACTAATAACTGTGTTCTTATTAAGAAAAACGCCCAATTGTTCACACCTTTGAGATAACTGGCTTATGAATCTGGGGATATAGGACTTCTGCTCAGGAGTGCCCCCAAAACTTATTAGTGCCCACCTTTCAATTTTAGTTCCTTCAAAGACATGACCATCCAGAAGGTTCCACTGGCGGTCATGACGGGAAGGGGTTAGGTTTCTCACATGACCTCCATCTCCAAGCTTTAGTTTGGGAGGGAGAAGAATTCTACCAGTCAACCTTGTCATTTCTCTTGAGACTTGGAGTTTGAATTCTCTTTCTTGGTCACCACTGTCAAAAGGATTACTTACAAGGTATTAGAAATTGATACAAAAACATTATAAGTGTTTAAAAAAAAAAAAAAAAAAAGGATCCATAGAAGTACATAAGAATCATTCCGACTATTCAATAAACAAGAAAAATTAAACTATGCTATGTTGTGGTTACCTGGTAGGCCCAACAGTTCCTCTCATGACTCCTTCAATGATGGTTTTCCGTTCTCCTGGTCTTTGGCAGCCCATCTTAAGTATTCTTGCTGTCTGATCATCAGACAGTTTCCCAAGAAATTTCTGACCTTCACAGATCACACAAAGCTCCATAGGGAGATAACAAGGTTTACGCCTACTGATTTGCAAGCAAGGCAATTTTCTGAATTGAATGTCATAGTTATAATGATCTTTAAAGTAACTCACCAGCCTCAGATTCTTTCCATCTCTGTCGGCAAACCAAAGATTTTCAGTAGCCTCCTCAGTTAAACCATAGATACGGTATCTCTGAACAGTTTCTCTATGGCAAACAAAGACCCTGATGTTCTTCAATGCCTTCTCCACTTCCTTTCTTTCTTCACTAGTTAATTGAGTTGTCTTCCTTTGAGAAAGGTCTCGAAGAAACTCAAGACGTTTCTGCAAGTATGGAATCACTCCTACGCTCTCGTGGAAAGCAGTTACTGAGAAATCCACATTGAGAGCAAGTCCTTGTTGGGTTGGTCGAAGACTCTGAAAGAAGCCTCTCAGTCCAACAGCTCCTCCACCAATATCTTTGCTTCTTCCCATTGAACTTGAATAGAATGACCTCCCTACAGGTATACATTTCTCAGTTGGGCTTTCCCTCAGAACTACATCCAAAGCATGTAGATAATCCTGTGGAAGTGGAATCCAGTCATCACCCTCTTTGCTCAGGTAGTTAGTTAACTCCTTCCCACTAATCTTTGAGACTAGTTTGATATTTATCCGGAACAGTTTAAGCTGTTCATGCTTCTCTTTCAAGTCAAGCATTTCTCCACAAGGTGATCTCAGTTTGCTTGTGGAGATTGGAAGGCTTATGTAGAACTCAAGTTTATCATTTTGGAATTCAACTGAGCTGTAAAGATTCTTTCTACCATCATATGCTGGCATAGCACCGGAGAGTAAAGCAGAATTGTTATTTAACAATTTCTCTTTGATTACTCTGGCAACATCCTTGGAAGGATGAGGAGTAATTTCAACATTGTAATGATATATTTTTTGTGATGAATCAAATTGTACCAGAAAGTGGTTGGCAAGGAGATGGATCACAGAACCTTCTTTGCCACCAGAGTCTGGCCTCCTTGCAACAATTACTTCCTGTGGCTTCCTTGCTGGAATGAGTCTCTTCCCATCATCTTCTTTAAAGGACACCTTAGTTTGCTGCTGAAGCTCCTTTGGAGCTGAATCAGTATGTGAAACGAGATGGTTCATCATTTTTTCAATTTACTTTGTCGCCTATATCAAATAGTAAGCTCAAATAACGAAGTATTTTTGCTGACTAGAAGGTTCGGTTGTTTACACATAAAACACAAAATTTCCAGAAAAGTTCAGTAAATAAAGTTTTCTAAAAAGTATAGTCACTAAACATTTTATTAAAACAATTTCCTTTTTTTTCTGCACCACTAGTAAAAGTAGCTATATATAAATTAATCATTCCCTTTATTCATTACAATAATAAAGACCATGGCCCTGTTTAAATACTGTTTTCAAAAACAATTTTTTGGTTCTCAGAACAAAATAATAAAAAAGCCTGTTTGATAAGGCCTATTTTATAAAAAAAAATAAAAAAAATTGTAACTATTTTTTTGTTTTTAAAATCAAATTTAGGAAACATGTCTGAATTGTTTTTGCCCTATGTTTTGACTTTTAATTTTATTTTTTTTTAAAGAACACAATCAAACCGACCATTTATTTTTTATTTTTGCAGGAAACCAATATTAAATAAAGCACTAAACATCCCCTACTAGTAAAGCTGTGATGTATATGCAAGCAAGTATTGAAATTAGACATTCAATGACTTTGAAAATACGTTAGTAGTACTCCCCAGCAATTTAAGCTTAAGAAAATGGTTGCATGATTGTAGAGGATAAGTAAGTAAAGACTCAACATTACTAATCAAATTAGACCTTGACTTTACTTATGTAACAGTGGTTTCCAAGCAAATCATTTTTTCCCAAACCAAATTTCACCAATGACTGCAACAACCCTTGCACCTTTTCAGATATAGCTTGACAGACACCAGAAAAAAGAAAAGGGGACCCATGAACTGGGACAACATAGCTAATAGGAAAATCCACCATATTTCTGAAAAATTGGCACCCAAAAAAGAAAAAAAAAGTTCTTCCAACAACGCTAGCTCGTAGAAAAAGAGAGAGAGGATGTTGAGTGTTTAAAATCCAATCATGAAATACTACGGAGAGAAATAGTTGAACATGTTTTAATGACTGTTTAATAAAAGACGAAAATAGAGTAACATGATAAGTTTTATTTTTGACAAATTCAACATCAAAACATAAGGTATCAATTGAAGCAAGTTGAAAACTGATCTGAAATCTTTTCCACAACAAGAATTTACACTTTCACATTAAAAGCAGCAAAACTAATGCAACATCTGGATCAAATCTAACATGAGAAAACTTCAGAAATGATCTAACATTTCTGATTGAACTTCAGAAATGTTTAAAAAATAAATAAAAAGAGAAAGAGAAAGCCAGAAATGGTTTCTTCGTGGTATTGCCAAGATGAAGTTTTCTATGAGAAGTTAAAGGAAATTTGGAAGATTTTTCCCAGAAAACCAAACAAGCAGGACTAAAAGAACAAATTTTTATCATCTTTGTTAGCAAAACAAGAATGCAAGCAAAAGGGTAAATTTGAAAGGGAAGGAATAATGCTATTGCTTACCAGGAGGAAGAGCTGGTTCAGAGAGCTTGTAATCTGAGGATGGAGAACTATTGAGTTTGCATGGAGGTTTCAGTAAATGGGTTTTGGATTTGATGCTCTGGTTTTGAGGGAAGGGTGGAGTCAAAGGTAGTTGTTGCAGAGGTATAAGAGAAGGTAGAGGAAGAAGAGCCGGGTAGTACCTCTGATACTTGTTCTGGTTGTTGATGAACCCAAGTTGACTTGAATACTGTAGCAGCTGATGGTGCTGATAGTTATGATGTTCATGAGAGTTGGCTCCATTCCTGAAGCTCCTTCTTTTGGTGGTAAATTTCTGGTTAGCATTGGTGGATTCCTCTGTCTCTTCCATGATATGATTGAGAGAGAGAGAGAGAGAGAGAGAGAGAGAGAGAGAATATGAGAATATTGGGTTGGTTTGGGTTGGTTTGGTTTTTCTGCTTTCAATACAAGTTTGAAGCTGTGACAGCAGAAACTACAGTTACAGCTCAGAGAGAGAAAGAGAAGAAGAAGAGACAGAAAGGAGGGAAAGGCACTGGGAACTGGGGAAGGAGTTGAGGTAATAAAGAACTTTGGGTCTTAGCTCCTGGCGGTTTTTTTTATGCACTTCTCTTTGAGATTGGTAAGAAGGGAGATTGTTTTTCACGTTGAATGTAATATAAAAATAAGCTGTTTATAATTTTTTTTGTTAAATTATATTAAGTAGGAGTGGTCGTACATTGCATCATTAAAGTATGACCGGTCATATTTAGTGTAGTTTGTAAATAAAAAAATTTGTAAATATAACTTACGCCTAAAAATAATAGGTGAAATTTATTTATTTATTTCTTTTTTTTCTTAATAAGTTTTATTCAATTTTTTATGTGTTGTATGAGATAATATCTGATGCTATATCAGAAATAATATTTCCTGTATTTTAATGGGAAAAAGAAAAGAAAGAAACTGGCGGGTACCCTTGAGTTGCAGTAAATGTGAGGGTAAAATGCCATTCACCAAAGAGGAATTGTCTTTGTGCAGTTTTCAATCTGTCTGTATGATATGTTAGAGGCATTAATACCATCTTACATGGTCCTTGACTCACTGTCAAACACAAAAGATAAGACTGTCCTAGCCTTTTCCTTAGAATATACAATGGGAAGTCAATTTTAGGATGGAAAGACCAAAACGCCCTCTCCCTCCTTTTTATTTATTGGAACTTACATTTATGCTGTGATGGGGATTGGGCTTTTGGATTCCACATTTGAGTTCATATTTTGTCTCTCTCTTTAGCAGCACTTCACTCTGGTCTAAAACATCATCATCCCTTTTGTTATGTCACTTTTGTTGTCTATTTTGTGCAGGCTTCAATCAATTTCACACATTGAATTTCCAGCTTGTCTTGTATGTAGCACTGCTCTGCTAATTTTGTAGTGAGCATTCTGCTTATTCTTAATCCCCATTCCCATGACAAATTTCAAAAAATGAAATAAATAGGTGTTTTTCTAGATATCTGGGACCATTTTTTGAAAGCCTAAAAATTGCTCAAGAGATGAAAAAAAGGGCATAGAAACATAATCTTTAGTAAATTAGCCGTTTCAAGGTATGTATTTAGGGTTTTTGTTTTATCCTTTAACATAATACAACAAACTTTCCTACCCTCACAACATTTTGTGGGGCCCACACTTTTTAAAACAAAAAAATAAATAAAAAATTAAGGCACGCAAAAGGAATCTCTATAACATTACACAATCACTTTTCCTACAACATAACAATCATAAAACCCATGTATTTATCATAAATAACTTCTGAAATGGGAAACCTGAGAATATTCAACCTCAAGCACACATGCAGCATATAAACTTATAATTTATGGATACAGCATGAGTTTATTAAGTTTCTGGCCTAAGAGACACACATCATTTTCTATTCCTTTGAATTCAACTCCCCATTAAATATTTAGGTTCAGTGTACATAGCAAGGAAAACAAATTCAGGCTCAACCGATATAACCCCTAGTCTAATCCAAGAGGCAGAATTTTCACAAGGACTAGCTAAAAAAAAAAAATATCACAACAAAGAACATAAGCTACTTCATGCTTATCTCTTCCTAGTTTTACTTTATAGTTCGTTTTTATCTCATCTTTAATCCTTGCTTTTGCCTCATCTTTAGAGTACATGATCAGTGCTGGTGGGAAGAAAAAGGGTCATTCATGCACTTCTGAAGTTGGGTCTCTTAAGACAAACATCGGTTGAATGTGATGATGGGACAATATTATATGTGTGGAGCCTTAAGATATGTTTAGTTTGAATGTATACCACATAACTCCACTAGTCTCCATTGGCTTTAATGCTGTTTAGACTATCTTTTTTGTTGTAAATTTTGTCTATATTTACTGATGTAACGCTTAATTTATATACTGCTTTCATTCCTTTATAAGTTTTTAGATAATATTTGAATTTTATTTTATATTTTTATGAATGATTTAAAGTTCTTATGGTTCTCACAGTTAGTCATTATCCTCAACTATTCTTTGTCTTTCTAAATCATATATTAACAATAATTGGCCACAAAGATTCAAGCACAGTTGTTTTTACCCTCCCTTGATCACTACCCTCACATGACAAAACCAACTTTACACTTGAGAACGTTTGGTAGAGAAGAATTATTTTTATCCGGGAATCTCGATTTTCAAAAATATGATGAAAATATTCAATTTACGATAATATCTGAAAATTAAAAATTTAAAAAAATTCAGTTTCCCAATAATCCTGAAAAATACCGCCTACCGAACACCCACCACTCCCATTAAAGACAGGGTGAGAACAGTTCTTGGTAGTTTTACCTTTGGATATCTATAAAGAAATTGTTTTTCAAATTCGAACTCATTACTTTCTGGGTTTTGTGTTTGTCATTTTAAATGATATAAGTTATGTCATTTTAGGATAGAGATAGACACGAAAACATAGAAATCATGGGAGAGAGAAGTTGAGTGAGTTTTTTTTAATTTAAAATTTAAATAAAAAAAATTTATGTGTCTCTCTCTCTCTTAAAAGGACAGAGTGTTATGTCATTTAAAATTACAGACATTTTTCCCTTACTTCCTACTCATAAAAAATAATTTTACCATTATTCTAAGTTTGTCATCTTTTCAACTATACACTCTAAGCCAAAAAAAAACTAGTTTGCCGAAATCATATTGCATAAACAACATATTATTTTGTTTGAGTTTCAACACAACAGAATATTTTGTATGGAAACTTGACATGTAAAATTATTTCAATTAAAATGAACCTTAACTTGCTGTTATTAACTGAATTTTTTATATGAACTAAGTTCATATGCAATAAATAGTCTATTAATTATTTAATTTTGTGTGTGGAACTCATGAAAAATCTATAGTCCACTTCCATTTTACGATCCGGGTCCATTGAATTTTTTTTATTCATTATCAATTAAAGAGAAAGATAATTTAATGTAATGAAGCTGAGAAGTTGCACAATGATACTTAACTGAATTGAGAAGCCCTAAATTTATTATGATTGCCATGTCTTCATTTTGCTTTCTGTCATCAATTCATTCTTGTAGTATGATTAATTTGAATAATTCTGCATCTTAAAGGTTGCGTATGATTCTTTTCTTTTCTTTTCTTTTGTAAAATTTTGTAAGAAGAATGTTTATCCAAAAGTGTTTTTTTATGCTGACTCTAGTTACTGGTTCAACTGTGACAGTTATTACTACTCTTGAGTACATTGGATGAAATATTGATATAAGATATGGTTGTAAAAAGTGAAATCAGAGTCCCCTGCCATTACCTAACAAATTTATAAACTTTAATTAATTGTAGTTGTACTTGTGATATGCCTGCCATGAAAGATACATCAAAAGGAATCCCTTCCTTTTCATGGTTTTGTGCCTGCCATTTTTCTGTCCTTATTTTTGCAAATTCCCATAATCACCTCACCTCACCACACCACACCACATACAAGATTCCTTTCTTTCGTAGTTTGGGAACTAATAAGATCAACTTTCAGTGATTGAAAATATTACTCTCCTTTCATATGAGGTAACTTATCTTATTTTCTCTCACTTCGATTTTCGCACCCCACTTTTTTCTTCTTTTTCTTTTTTCTTATAATGGTGGGACCCACCCATTTTCTCTCTACCACATAAGATAACTATCTTATGTGGAAGGAGATTAATAAAACCCTTTAATAAAAATGCTGCTCACGAAGAAGGTGTTTCTTTTAAAAAGAAATTATATAGTGCCACAAAGGCAAAATCATTGAAATTTGACCTAAATATTTTTTTAGATATCATCTATATAGGTTGGTCGATTATGAATTAGTTTAATTCAAATCGGATAGGTCTACATAAATGTCAAATCTCTTTCTATCAAATTTTAATACAGTTGCGTTTCAGGAAATTAAATTTGAGATCACTAATTAAATTGAAACAACTACTTATTAACTGATTCATGTGTTTGGTGATAAATTTTATCTAAATTTCTAAGATGCTAGAATGTTGTTTATCACTGGGAATTTTTATTGACCATTTTTTTATAGTCTTTGCAGAGACAATTTTGATATATAATGTGGTGAAATTGTCAAACTCGGTCCCCCGCGAGAAAAAAATCCCAATAACTCACATATAAATTGGAAATTGACATTCTTATTTCATTTTATTTTTTTAGATTTATACTAGTTGCATGCACATAACTTACAAAATAAAGTGAGTCAGTGATTTTAACCAGAGATAATTTGATGTTAATTGATGTTAGATGGCTTAATTACACTTATAGTATCTTTTAATGTGTAATTTTGCTTTCCCAATAATTTTTTGCTACAATTTAATCCCCCAATTTTTATAATAGCAAGAATCAAGTCCTTCCTCTAGTTTATCTCTACTTAAAACTCATAGATTTTTATTTTTTTTACTCACATATTTGAGTTTCGGACGAATTTGGGATACAAATTATTTTGAATTGTTCATAATTTGAAATTTTCATGTTTCGATCGGTGAATTTTGAGCTTGAAGAGGTTGATCTACTCGATTTAGTTTGTGAATATTTTGAGTAAAAAAACAAAAGAGAATTTAGAGTTTTTTAAATTGAAGGAAATAATGAAAGGACCTGATTGCAGTAATTAAAAAAACTAAATAATTAGTACCCCAAAAAAATTAAATTTGAGGGGGAAAAAAACATTGGGAGATCAAAATCTCTCATTAGCCAGGGGGACAAAAGTACAATTAAGCCAAAATACTATGTATAATAACATTTCCCTTTAAGAAAACAAAAGAGATATGTATTGTACCTTTTGGTCCATATTTTTCCCTTTAATAAAGACATCCAGCCAAACATAGTGAAGGGTATCCTTCTCGTTCACAAGAAAGCTGAAAAATTAATATGAAAGTGGAAAGCAAAAATGAGAGTACAAGTTAAAATTTTGATAAACATACATATTAAAGAGATTAAAATTTTTTAAAAAAAATCAGGTGGATTTTCAATTACTATTATGCTGTTTTACTGAATTGT